GCAAACCTCTCCCAGTGTAGAGATAGCTGGCTCTGGCGAGGGCACAGGCAAGAGCTCTGTCTCCGATCGCCCACCGCCCTGGGCAGCAGCAGAGCCTAGCCCAGCCCAGCGGAAGGAACCCAAGGTCTGACCCAGCAGTTTCATTTCTGACCCTTTTGGACAAGGCAGCTCCCTACTCCATCATCTTCCAGACCCTGAGCTATGGCACGTGTGGGAGCCACCACCTCCCTGGGCATGCAGCCCTCAGAGCCAGCAGAGCTTCCAGCAGCTGGGGTGGGGGAAAAGCTGAACCGGGGACCCTTGGAAAACAGGCCATGGAAGGAGCTAGTCCAGGACATGCTCCTCAGATGCAAGCGGACACATGAACACGGATCTCACCCCTGCTCGAGCTCTCTGAGTGCTGTCCCTGGCTGGGTGCACCGTGTGTGTTGCCTGAACGTATCCACTAGCAACGCTGATTCCTTATGCCTGTGATTCCCCAGTCCCAGGGGGAACATCCCTGCGTGCAGAGAAAACCCGCCCTGCTCCGCGCCGGCGGCAGGGTGAGCGTCACTGCCGCACACCGGGGCTCCAGGGATGCCAAGCACCTTCCACCTCTGCCCTCCCCGGCACTGCCCCACCTTCCCGCCCTCCCTCACCTCAGCATCCCCCAAAGACACGTTTCCAGCCACCTTCCAGGGGTTTAATTAAAACCAGGCTGCTCGGATGCCAAGCGGACATGAGATGCATCCACCTGCGAATCCCACAGGAGATGCAAAAAGAGCAGAAGGAGACAGGATGGGAAGCAAGTAGAGAAAAGATGCTGCAAGAGAGCAGCTTTCAGCAGGGCAGGGTTAGCACCTGTTAGAGGGCAGGGCTTTCAGCACAGCAAGGAGACCCAGACACCCATTTGGGGCAGAAAACACCCCACTGCTGCCAGGCATGGTCATTTGCTGTCAACGCCTCCAGCAGCCTAAGGGTTAAAAATGACTGCAGGGAGTGCTGGTGGTTTCATCAGCAACCCAAACCAAAGGAAATGAGCTCTAATCCCAAAGCAGCCCTGCGTGGAGGAGTTACCCAATTTCCACCGTGCAATGCCCGGTGCTGCAGGCACAGTGGACATCTGGCCTCGGCCCCCTGCTCCCCAGCCCTGGGGACTCCCCCTTGCAAAAAACCAACCCTGGTGCTGCAAATCTCTTCCTCCCTGCCCTCCCACCAGCAGCTCACAGGCTGCAGGGAGACGAGAAACTCCAGCCCTGGTCACCTCTGAGGCTCTTAGCGCTTGGGAGGAGGGATCCAGCCTTCGCTTGCGTGGCAGAAACGATGCTGAAGGTCCTCCAGCATCCCAGGATGGTCTCCACGGGGATGATGCCCCATGGCTGGTGGCCAGGGAGCAAGCACAGAGTGGCATGGTCTGGCTACGAGGCACCCGCCGGCTGCGGCGAAGCTGCGTCACGTCGGGCAGCCCGCAGTGCTGCCCAAGGTCTGCTCCAGGTGCCAACCCACATGGCCAACCGCGGGGCCAAGGAGGAAGGTTCCTGCAGTTTCGGCAGGGGCAAGGCTGGAGCGCAGGCTGCCAGGCTGGTGCAAAGCCGGGGTTCGGCATCCTTCTGGGAGAGAGTTTGAATCTGAGACAAGGCGGCACCGAAAAACATTCCCTTCATCCTGATGAGCTGCCGGAGCCGCCGCAATCATCGCAAACCTGCCTGACAATGAGCCCACCGTGATGGGGAGCTGCTACGCAACAGCGTCGCTGCCTCTTCAGTGTAGCTGGAGGAAATAAATAACCCCGAAAGCACCCGCAGCCCACGGCGGGTACCGTCAAGGTGCACGTTGCGTAACACAGACCAGGCTGATATTGGGCCATGAAAGAGCTCAGGAGCTTTTACTGATGACCCAAAGTTACGCCAAGGGGCCAAACCACCTTCGCAAGTGACTGATTTTCAAGATCCCACCAGGTGTGACGCTGCCCAGCTGCTCTGAGCCCAGGGAAACCTCTTCCTCCCCATTTCAGCATCTCCCAGCACCCATGAGACGCCAGAGATGACTTCCCAGGAAGGTCTGGAAACATCTGCACTTCCCTTTTTGAGATTTCCAGAAGCCGTGCTCCCTCTCCCCAGGAAGGGTTCCAGCGTTTGGATGTCTCGTTGCTCCCCCCGGGCTGCCCCAGCCCTCGGCCAAGGCTCGCTGCCCTCCCAGCCCTGCTCCAAACTCTCCCCAGCAGCTCCTGCCTCCCCGGACAGCGCAAAATCCCAAGCACTGGGAGAAGAAAACAGGGACACAGGGAGGAAGGGCTCGGTGTGATATAAATCACAGGGACAACCCAGGTAAGTCGGCTGCCATTTAATGCCCTCACCAATGTTAATTAAGCAGGAGGACTGCCCCTAAGTATTGCTTTTTAATTTTATCACACAGCCCTTTGCTCGGGTGTAGCGGGGAGCGAGCCCAAAGTGAACTGTCTTCACATTAACCATTTTTTTTTAATTTTTTTTTTTATTATTCCCCCTGGCCAAGCCCCCTCTTACCAGGAAGATATTCATCATTTCATTAGGAAAGCATCCCTGTGCCACGCGGTCCCCACGGCACCAGGCAGCTGCTCAGAAGCAGCAGGCGTTTGATCACCGATGCAGCAGGGCAGACGTCGGGACACGTTGCGCCTCGCTCCCCACAACCACTGCCTGCAAAACCCAGGGGTCAGCCTCGGACGGGGCAGGGGGACGCCTGCACCCACGGCAGGGACGTATTTGGGGGAGAGATCACGAGGGTCGCAGGCTGCCCACGGTGAAGAGGTGGCTGCTTGCACCGTGGGCGCGGGGTCTGCACGGCTCCGTGGGCTTCAGAGCACATTCGCCCCCAGTGCCTTCCTGCAAATTGGAGTTATGGTGGTGTCTGTGCCCATTTGGGCCCTGACCCCTCTCCCCTGCCCTCCACACCCTGCCACCGCCCAGGCAAGGCTGGCATGAGCAGAGAAGCCACCTTACAAGTCGCGAAGCTGTGCCTCACCTTGGACCTTGCCATTTGGCTTCTGGCCACCTTCAGCGCCCGGAGGTTTTATTACCATACTTTGCTCTCTTTTTCCTTTTTTCTTTTTTTTCATTTTTTAATTCCTGGCACTGCTGCACACCTCTTGTCCCACACAGGGGATGCCCAGAGCCGGCGGATGCCACCTCCTCCTCCTCCCCTCTCCCACCAGCCCAGCTCCGCCAGAGCAGCAGCAACAGCCCAACAAAAACTCCACGTCGAGCCATAACCAATGGCAAATTCTTCGAGTGAAACGTAATGTGCTGGGAAGCGCTTCACCATTTCACTTGGGAAAACGATCCGTTTGGCAGCGGAGAGGAGGAAAACATGCTTTGTTTTACAAATCCTCTCCCCAGCAGGAGAGACACTCCCAGAATTTAATACACTGACAGCGTTTGGCTGCTTTAACCACTGAAACTCAAGAATGCATCAAAAAAAAAAGGGGAAAAAAAAAAAGTGATACACTATATCATATTAAAGCCTATCCTATTCTGCAAGCGGTGGCATCGGGCATGGCAATCCATCGGCACAGAGAAGCCACAAATCTCCCACCCATGACAGCCGGCAGGGTCAGGGTACATGGTCCCAGGTTTCTCCAAGCGCGAGCCATCCCTAATTAATTCAGTTTTCACCCTCTCACAGGGTGAGGCCCTGCAGCAGCTCCTTGCAGGAAAGCAGAGAACATGCCAACAGGTCAGTCTAGGAAGTTGCTTTATAGCAGAGAAACAGAATTCAAAGTTTTTCAGCGCAAGGATTACTGCCATGAAAGGCGACCGGCTCCATCCAGGTGATTAGGAAGCTTCTCGCAAGCCCAGACTCCAGCCTCAATAAAATGTTAAGTATTTCAGTGTATTTCCACTTCTCCTCCAATGCACTTAACTGCCAAAAAAGTCTCCTACGGCGAGGAGGGCTTATGGGAAAACACACCTCATCCACAGCGGACAGCACTTTTTTTGGAGGAGATTTTCATTTTGCAGTGTGGGGTTTGGGCTCCAGGCAGTCGACAGTGTTACTGGAGCAGGAGGAAAGAGCAACCAGTATCTCCAGCTAAAGAACCTGTCGTTAAACTGGGCTGGCTGTGCCAAAGGAGCACATGCCCTTCCGAACGGCCGCTGCCAGCTCCTGCACGCACAATAACATAAGTGTTATTTTGAGGACAGGCAGCGGGATCAAATTGCCCCCGCACCGGAGCCCACTTCTGACCTCTCTGAGGAGCAGCTTCGAAGCAATAAGTCCATCTGCTGTTCGTGTTTTTTTACCTTTTTAAACTAAAAGAAGCCCGCTTCTTATCTTAGCACTTTGATAGCCTTTTGTGACCTCCAAGAGTTCTCGGATACACTAATTAAGCCTGTAAAGACAACAGCATCGCTCCCATTTCGGGGGAGCAGGACAGATAAATTGGGTGAAATGCAAAAGGTAGCGCAGGACGTCGGTGCCAGCGGTGGGGCTGGGAGGGAATGACCTTTATAAATATGGTTTCTTTGCCCTGCCCTTATGCTGATTATCAAACACAGCTTCTGCAGGGGCCCTGGAAGGCGGCAGGTGAAGCCCCCCTGAACCTTGTCTAGCAGTGGGTGGGTTGGGCAAGACATCATGCCACGGAAAGCCAAAGAGCTGGTCAGCCTTGTGTCTGGCAACACGCTCATCGCACTTATAAAAAAGGATGGAGCCCCTCCAAACCGCGGGGATGCTGTCACCTACACCCTCACTCGCACGCTGGGCCAGCTTCAAAGCTTGGTGAGGTCAGTGGAAAGGTTCCCAGTGACCTAAATGGCTGGGATTTTCAAAAAATAGAAAAAAAATAAACAAAACTGAGAGCTGGGCACCAGGTCACTAGGTTTGCTTGAAAACCCCAGTTTCACAGTAGTAGTGCAACACGTTACATTAGCAACTACACGGACCACCCAACGCCGCAGCCCCGCAGCACTGGATGCCATATCAACAGCTCACAAGAAGTCTCTGCCCCACTGTGCTCGCTTGTCCATCCCTCTCTGCAAGGGGAACCTCATCCTTCCCCCCAAATCCGCATTTTCAGGCTGGGACGCGGCAGGAG